TTATACCAATGTCGCATTCCACATCTTCCTTTCTTTAATAATCACTAGAAGTCACTGTCCACCTTTATATACTCAACTTCACACTTTGTTGCCTTAGCACACATGCCAAACCCAAGTCTCAACGCTACTTAATCAGTTTAATTCCTTGACCATCCAAACAGACATGAAATATAGAGCTCTCACTCTCAGACTAGTTGTCGAAACCAAGTCGGTCACAACTCCACTTCGCGTCCTGGATGTATATCACTATCTTGTCAGGATAGCTTCCAGCCAACCACAATTAATCGGCAAATCGCCAACTTCTCACTTTCATTATAACTCAAAAATTCCCATCAAATTTAAACACCTCAGCACCCTCCTGCACCGACTCATCAAAACCATTCTCAAGCACTTAGCTTAACTCAAGACAAATCACTGCTCACGCCATCTAAGCTTGCAAGACACGTCCATCCCATCCAACACAATTCCAACTACTATCAATAAGAGATTAAGGGTGATCAGTTCCTTAATTTGTCAATAGACAGCCGAAAATCATGATAGGGTGCAAACCATCTTTACCAAACTATAAGAGCGTTCAACCACACACCGAGGTACAACTCCACACTTGCAGCATCCTGGAGAAGTACAAGGTTCTCCCCCACTTGAATCATTCTCACTCCTGCAGACAAAGGTTCTACAACAAAACATGTACCGACGGTGTTTTCACACACATGTCGCATACTAGGGAATATACAACATTAGACAACTTGGCCGGACGGACCGACCTGCTCTGATACCACTAATGTAACACCCCAATCTAACCCGGCGGATAATTAATGAAAACAGAATCAGAGTGCAACAAATTTTGTAAACATGACGGTCGTAAGGGGCTGTCACGACCGTGATGGTCATGACGATCGTAATGAAGGTGTGACGACCGTCACATCAGCAAATTCTGGGCGTTACAGTTTCAACTCACAAAAACATACATTTCACAATTTGCTCGTAGACAACATGCATTTAGTAATGATACATAACACAGAAGCTTGGATGAACATACAACAATACTTTGATTAACATTTTGATTACAAGGCATCTTATTAATTTGCAGCGGAATATAAAACATTTCCAACATCTATCATGATTAAAGCAAGACCATAAAACTTGCAACAAAACTCCATTAAAATTCAACAAGTAATTATCTTGCATCAATTCAACATAAACGACGAGTTTCAACCATAAAAATCAGCACTACCAATTCATTAGTATAGTGCATCTAACCAACATTTGGCACTTAACAGCAGCCATCAATTTAATTAAAATATGCTTGATAAAATTCAGCAACAAGGAAATTAAATACAAGCAATAACATCAATCGTTCGTCCCCCCAAGAGTGCTACGTATCAGAGCGACCAACAACCTTAAACGGAAAGCTACACTTATTCCGGATTACCTGCAAATTACCACCAACGGAGGTAACATACAACGTAAAGGATGAGATATCAACAATATAACATAAGACATGATAAAAGTCATGTCAGAATATTATCACGATATTATAATTCCAGCAGTTCGCATAAATATTATTAATAATTAAACTGCAACCACCCTTTATTCATAACCACAACAATTATCATCATATCTCAGCAACTCACCAAAACAACTCAACAACGCAACTCAACAATGCGACTCAACAATGCAACTCAACTGTGCATATGCATGTGGTACCATTTTGGGAGCCAACACTCCACAATAATTCGGGAGACAACTCTCCACAATAATTCGGGAGACAATACTCCACAATAATTCGAGAGACAACACTCCACAATCATTTTATTTTATCATTAAAGACACAACCGTCGCCAATCCAGGCCAAATGATATGCTATGAGATGCAACTATTATGGACTATAACACAACAACAACAACTGTGCAACAAGGCGTCACGCCTACAACTAATTATCCATAACAGAAACATCACATTTCGCATACATCACCTACTCACCTTCAATTTGTTCATATCAGAGAACTACCAACAATATCGTTCCTACGAATAAGACTCTAACACATTTTCGCAAAGAACAATTAAAAACAACCTCGTCTCTACAATTAAGAACTCAACAACATTTTCATGTCAGAGAACAACTGACAATATCATTACTACAAATAAGAACTCAACACATTTTCATATACCTTCATACGGGTAATATAACTACAACTTACCCACATAATCCAAGGAGAATATTATAATAACATTTTCTCAATGGTGACATAACAACTTCATATGCATCAAGTATTCATCATTTCAATCTGTTCATGTAGGGGAACAATAACAACATACTTTCGACAATTAAGAATTCAACACATTATCGTAAGAACAACATTACAACTTTTACTCACTAAATTAATTATAGTTCCTGAAAAGGTTCGTTAACTACAGGACAATTAATCTTGCCTCATTAAGGGCAACCATACAGCATCGTATAACACTGACGATATAACACATTCATTCCTACACAGAAAAACCTCGTCCCTAACATTTATCGGGTAACGGGAACTATATCTATGATTCGATTCCCTACCTGAAGTCGATCAAGTAAGAGCATAACAACAACCTTTTCTCAACAAATGGGATATTAGCGCATGTCGGCGCCGATTCCCAACATTACTACATAAACTAATGACATAAACACTAATGCAGGCGTAGACAAACATTAACCCTTAATATTTCTCAACCTACGGGAACATTTACCCTTAATGTTGCCCAACCTACGGGAACATTACTACGGGGACATTACCACGGGAACATTTCCACGGGGCTATTACTACGGGAACATTTCCACGGGAATATTACTACGGGAACATTAACCCTTAATATTTCTTCAACTTACGGGAACATTACTATGATAACGTTACTACGGGAACATTTCCACGGGAATATTACTACGGGAACACTTCCACGGGAATATTACTACGGAAATATTACTACGGACACATTAACCCTTAATATTTCTTCAACTTACGGGAACATTACTACGGTAACGTTACTACGGGAACATCACTACGGGAACATTAATCCTTAATATTTCTTCAACTTACGAGAACATTGCTACGGTAACGTTACTACGGGAACGTCACTACGGGAACGTTAACCCTTAATATTTATCGATCTACAGGAACATTAATCCTATGATTCCATACCCTTCATGAAATCCATCATACCCACAGTTATAGAATTGAACCCCACCCTTACCTTGGAATTGAGACCAACTCTAAACTTCCGGTTCCGGTTTGCTCTCCCGGTGACTCTTCTACAACAACTTTCAATTCTCTCCGGCGGTTAATTCTTCTGTTCTTCCTTTCTCCACAGCCACATCCTTTTTCCTCTTTTCTCAGCCTTTCCCTTCCAATTTGGTTTTCTGAGCAGTTTATCGTTCTTTTGCTCTTTCTCCCACAACTTCTCTAATAACTCTCTAATTCCCTTTATTCTCTCTACTACTACTACTACTACTACTACTACTACTACTACTACTACTACTACTACTACTACTAATAATAATAATAATAATAATAATAATAATAATAATAATAATAATATAATATTACTACTAGTTATTAAATTATCATCATTATTAGTTATATTATATTATTATCAAACTCAATGATTTATTAAATGGTTTCCTATACTTTAAGGACATCCACCAATGCTCTCAGACACACTCCCACATAAAGGCACATCAACAATTCGTAAATAACTTAATTAAAATGAACGGGCGTTACAGGTTACTCCTAACTTAGTACAGAGCAAGTATTGAGCAACAACTCCTTGCATTCTAATATAAAAACTAATTTAAGGATGAATCTCAGGAGATTATTAAGAACATTAGTTTCCATATTGCTTAAAAGCTTTAATATGTGAGCATTGCGACTTCTTAGCGTAAAAGCTTTCCTTTGGTTATGCATACTGATGATAGCAAAACAGCAACAACAACATCAACTGCAACCACGACAGCGTCCACACTTGAATGACTCAAATGTTCTTCTTTTATAGTGTATCCAAGAGATACGTTGAGAGGACATAGATGTCCATTCAAATATTTCAACTGTCATATCTCCAACGGATAGAATAGTCACGTGTTGGAAAGTACATTGACATCACTTTCTTTGTCTTTTGTACATATCAGCTTCTGGCTTAACTTCTTCTGATGATGTATCTGATGAGTAGTTCAGAAACTACTTTGGTATGATAGTGTAATAACATCAGAGTCTTACTTCAGAACTTGTTTACCAGAGTTTATTAACACGTCTTCATCTGGGTGTTGCTACATAGTCTTCAACTTCAGAATCTAGTCTTCAGAGTCTTTCTGCACTTGGTCTTCAGATCCTTCAGAACTTCAAGTCATCAGATTCTTCAGAACGTAATTCTTCAGAAGATTATTTCTACAGAGTCTTGATCTTCAGAACCCTTAAGTCTTCAGAGTCTTTCTATCTTCAGAGGTTCAAGACATCAGAGTCTTCAGAGCTTCAAGACATTAGAGTCTTTAGAGCTTGGTTCTTCAGAGGACTACATCTCAGATGCATTGATATCTTCCAGATCAAATACACTTCTCAGAACAGAATCCACAAGAGCATTGCAACAACAATATACAACATCTTTGGATCTTTCTGATTATGATCAGATACAGTGGCAAACTGTTTCTTGAGTAGGCGCTTTAAATTCTTTATCCAGAATATCGCGTGGTACTTCACTCAGAGTTTCACTTTGTTCTTCGTTCAGAGTTTCCTTGAAAGCTATGCTTTAAGTCACGTCATACAAAGTAACTTCATATAGGCTTTCATGCACTTCTTGATATTGTTTGTTGATTTGATATATTTATCTAATGATCTGCGCACAACAACCATTAGAACATAAAATGGTTCTTTCATAAATACTTAATTGTTATCATCAAAACATAGAGATATCATGTAGAGACAATTCTTGCTCTTACATTCACTAACCTTCTTCCTTAACCTTTGCATACTTCATGAGAATAACAGTTGATGTTGACGAATAAAATTGTTTTTGATTGTAGTCAAAGAACTCCACAGCATAGCCTTCCATAGAGTACAATGCAATGCGTTGTCACTATTGTACCAAAATGACAATAGTCAGAATATAATGCAACCAACAACGACACATGACGTACAAATTTATTAGCTAATACACGGTTAACTGACATACCATAAATCTCTCAATACCAAGTTGACTTGAGGTTTCTTTCCTCCAAATTGGGGTTGGGAGTATCCAATTTCGTCGATCACACCTATAACATCTAAACAAAAAAGAAGCAATAATGTTTATTTAACAAATCTCTAAAGTAAGAAGGCGCCGAGGATTTAAATTGTTATAAAACATACTTATTAGGAGATTCTTCGGCCATTTTCCCGAGATGATGTCCGCAAAAGGGGTAAGGTTAATCACCTTATCGGGGATGTCATATTTACCAATATCTCCAATTCTTGTCCCACCAGTGAACTTCAATAAATATTTGTGGGGCGTGGGTTTGAAAATCAAGTGATTTGGTTGAACTTGGAAGTTCGACATCGTGCAGGTCATATTAACAGATAAACCAGAGTCAAATGCTTGTCTAAAGATTGTTGGAACAACAACATGAATGTCATGACCCTAAGATGTTTAAAACAATTTTCAACAGTTAAAAACAAACATACTCAAGCATGAGACATATTAAATCCTTTTCAATAAAAAAACAGAACCATCAGAAAAACCTAACCAAACCATTCAAACGATTTCACTCAAAACACACAAAACACCTTATTGGGTAACAAAATCAGACTATATCCAACAGAACTTTATAGAAATTTATGGTGAAACATGTAACATCATAACAAACCGAAATCTTCCAAATAAATGTTATCAAAAAAATATGGTAAAACATGGAAAGTCACTTGTTTGTCTACAACAACCATCTCAAAATGCTCCTTCATTGTGGTGGTTACCTTCCATTTGTGATGTATTTTGACAGCAAGCTTCCATAACTCCGTGCAATCGGTGATGCCGTTGAACATTTCAAAGGGTTTTCCAATTTCGTGAATGTTGAGCAACAATAGGAGATGAAATCGGTGAAAGAGGTGTAGAAACAAACCAAGATAGAAAGAGATGAGTGGTACAAAAGAGAGATAAAGTGTGATTAGAGTATAGAGTGAATGAGTTGACATGTTCAGAAAATCAGTTTCCAATGTACTGCAAAGCTTCCAACTGTTCAAATTGGTAGTTTCAAAAATTCAATATTGGTTCATTCAGAAATATATTAGGCTCATAGTTAGTCAAAAGTGATGAGAAAATAAAACGTAACAAACCAAAGTATGAGTGATTCAATAGTTAGGTTTTAGGTGAAAAAAGAACTTAAATTGACCTAAATTAGATGACGTGGCAGAAGATGAATAAAGATTAAAAGAGTGATTTCATTGATTATAACTTTTCTTATATGGTAGATTAAAATTAAATTTATCACTTTAAAAATAAAATAAATTATCAGAAATGGAATTCATTCCGAACAAATAAATAAATTGGAAAACCAAAGAAATTACATTCACCAGAGAAATAAAAGAAAGAAAATTCAGTCCCACTTTTTACATTCGGCAACAGCAGTCATCTTCATAGAAACTTCAGCTCCACCCCGCACAATCTTCCGCTCTTTCAGATGTTCCTGCTTCAGACGCTGCTGTCGCTGCTTCTGTTGTTTCTACTCTTAACCATAAATAACCATCTCCAATTGCTTTTCTGCAAATGCGCGTTCGCAGCTTTGTGATTCTGTTGCTGGCTAAGGTGAAAGTGAAACTAATTATTCTCTTTCTTGTTTACTTCTTGTGAAATATTTTAGGGTTTAGTATTTCCCCATAATAATATATCCTTTCTTCCATTTTCGTCAAATTTTTTTTGTGCCTGCAAATTTAATTCTATATATCATTTATCATACTGGGTAATCGTCTTTTAATTCTGTTATTTATATGAATTAAATTAAGCTATGTTTGGTTTCACTTTTGGAGCGCTCAGAATTGATTATATACGTATATAATTGATTTTGATATGTAGAATTGATTATGCTTTCTAAAATTGATTTTATTTGAAGTTAAAATTTGTAGTTTTTGAGTCTAAACATGATGTTTACACTACTTCAACTTACTTTTAAATAAATTTATCGAAATATAAATCATTTTACTTTCAAGTTTCAACTCACTTTTAGTCGGAATCAATTTTACATGATCAATTACTCAAAATCAATTATCTTCACCACAGAATGAAATAGACGCTAAAGGTTGTGAAGTTTCCTGTTAATATTTTTTCATTTCAGTCTAAGTGAAATTGCCCAAGTTAATTGATTACAAACTACACTTCATTGTGTGTGTCAATTATGGTGTAATTTATTTCTTTTTCTAGTTGTAATATGATTCTATTGCAAAATGTAAATCTTTTTATTAATGTTTTTAATCACATATATGTTGAATAGAAATTTTTCTGTGCCATCGACATCTCTGAAAAAATTTGTATCCGTGTCGGTGAAGGTTCAATTTATTCAATATTATCAGTATCGACATGGCGGTGTCGTTTCCTGTGTCCGTGTCCGTACTTCATAGGTTTTTTCAAGTGTTGTAGTCTTACTATAACCGCAATTGGATAACACTTAATATTAAATAGTTTATCGTGGAACAACAATGATTTGATCGAATTCTACTACGATATATTATTGTGCTATAGTGGCTATTTGACAACACTACTTTTTATTGGGTTTGTTTCGTAAAGAATTTTAATTTAATTTTAATCCCACCTATGAACTTGCTTTTGATTATATAGAAAATGTTGTTCATAGTTATCATCTTTTATGTAAGAGGGACTAGACCGAGGAAGTAAGACTTGGTTTCGAAACATGTTGATGAGAGGGTTTAGGGTTTGGGAAGTAAGACTTGGTTTCGGAACATGTTGATGAGAGGGTTTAGGGTTTGGGAAGTAAGACTTGGTTTCGAAACATGTTGAGAGAGGGTGTCGAGAGTCCCATATTGAAAAGTGATATGACTTAAACAAAGATTACAAGTAGGAGGCAAATGGGAAATCACTTAAGCTAGTTCTTGGGTTTGTGTTGGGCTAAAACTCCTATATTCTAAGAAACTCAATAATCGTTGTTTTTATTTTTCAAGGAGAATAGTTCAGTTTTAAGTCGGCTAAATGATTGTCTTATTTTCTAGAGCCAGATTTTTTTATCCCTTATATATGATTTCCTAATCTAATCTTCTGAATTGATGCAAAAAGTAAAGTATCTACCGTTCTAACTAAGCTTTTAAGCAATACATGTAAGGTTTTTTAAATATGAAGATAAGATAAAGCCAAGAAATTTGGATGGTTGGAAGTTTATTAAAATTGTCTCAAACAAACTTGAACTATATACGAAGTCCTAAAATGTCCGTTGTTGCCCCTCTAGACACCTGCTAGATACATCTGAAGTGAATTCAGATTTTCAATAATTCCTATAGGATGTGTACATGATATTTGTTTCATTTGTCTCCACTTATATTTTTTCATGAAGCTGCTATATTCACTAAGCTTTCATTGAAGGCTATTTTACAAAGGTGAAGACTAACAAGGTTATCTAATCTGCGTTCCTTACTGACCCTTTTCTTCTTTAAAATCTCATTGTTTTGAGTAATATGTATTTCACTTAGTTCATTAAATATTTCCAGTTTTCATGTGTGAGCTAATGGTCTCTTATCATTCTCCATTAAATTAAATCTTTGAAGTCATAGTATATTGTTAAGAGTCCCACATCGGACAATATATGACCTGAACATGTGTTTATAAGTAAGAGCAATGCTCACCTTACAAACCGGTTTTATAAGGTTGAGTTAAATAGTGACCTGCAGCATGCAATGGATGATGTCTAACCAATTCAGTATTATTGTGAACTTCCTCATTGCGTTCAAAGCTATTGAGTGATTATTAATGAAGCCTACAAGACTAATACCTCTCGGCTAAACAGATTATACGGAGAGGGACTTTGTATTGTTGGTGAACAATGTTTTGGACTCCATGTATTACACATTGTTCTCGATGGACAATTCACCAAGAAATGTATTAAAATTATATACTTTCTGTCTCCCTAACCTTATAACGTTGTTGAACATTCATATTTTAATTAGTGCTCGTCACAACCCTTCAACAAATTCTTTTTATATCCCATTTCCTTTATAAGGAGTGGCACTCTCACTTCATGATAAGTTGGAGCCTTCAAAATAGAACTATAGTTTCTAATGGCTTCGAGCATCAACCTGAAGCTTTTTGAAATTGAGTGATATATTCTACCGTACTTTCTCTTCCTTCTTTATCACAAGCATCAATTATGCGTATTTGCCTATTCCCTTTTCTATAGTTTGTTATATTTTCAAGAACATTATCCCATGAGTTTTCTTGTCATTTCCCTCTTACTTTGTGGGATTGCAGATGAAGTTGCTATGGCCGTGTTGCAAAAATAGAGTTGTGGAAAAGAAGAGCAAATGAAGAATACGCAACTCTGCCGTGGCTGGAGGAAAAGCAAAGGAAAAAAACTGAAAGTTATCAACAGAGAAGGAAAATGAAGCTTATGAAGAAAAGTGAAAGTAGAGGGTTCGACAGCAACATGCGGCGTTCAGTGTTTATGTCAAGCACAGCTCGTTCAGCTGCAGCATGGGCGTCTGGTTTGCAAAAAAGAGAAAGAAGAGGATTATTAGAATTTTAGCTTGTGAAAGACTGAAAATGGCTCAACCACGTCTCTATTGTAAGGGTATTTTTTGTGAGGGCAAAGCCTCAAATACTAGATATGCTTGTTTCGATGATGTCAAAACTTAGCCGCATCGAGGAATAGACATTTGGCGTTATCACCATGATGCATAAGCATACCTTATTTCTCATGTTTATTTGCTTGCACTAAATATCTCGAGTACTGCATTTAGAGTTGTCAAAATATGCCTCATACGAGTTAAACTCAATTGGTCTATCATAGGTATCATCTAAGAGAATCAGAAATATGAATTTAGGCATTTTTTGAAGTTTCAGGTCTTTGAGTCGACCTAAACTCTGCTCCGGTCGACTCATGGCATGTGTCCTAAAAATGCATTTTCCTCGGGTTAGGTATGGTCGACGCATACTGTTGTTATTTCTATTTGTCAAAAAAATTCAGGCTATGCGTCGACGCATGCCTTGTTCCGGTCGACGCATGGCTGTATGCTTTGCAAAATATGTTGCCTCGGGTTAGCTCAGGTCGACCCTGCACTCTGCATGGATCGACCGCTTGCTGTTTGCTGCATATTTCTTGATTTGTCTATTATTTTTTAAAGTTGGTTTTATCAGTTATAACAGTTTTGTCTGGTATAAATATTCAGTTGCTCTATTCATTTCATATCAATTAAATCAATTAGAAAAACAAGAAAAGTGAAAGAGGTGTCAATTCAAGTTCTCATCATCTTCATCTTCTACATTTCATACCACCACAATCACACACAATAATCTTTGCTGTGCATTATGGGTTGTCTAAGGTGATAACGTTTAAAGCCGTTGATTGGGTAATCCGGTTCGGGTTGAGGAATTGACAGGTTTTTCTTGAATAAAACCTCTAGGGTTTTGTCCTCCAAGATTCTCTAAATTTGAGGGTTTTTGGACGAGTCTTCTCAACACATATTCAGCCGAGTGAAGGTGATCGAGGAGCGGCGGGTTCCGCCGATCTAGTAGCGGTATTCGGAGAATTGTGAAGGAGAGGTTCGGGTTTGACACGCGAGTGTTTTGAGATCAGCCGGACTGGGGTTTGAAGACGGAAGGTTGTTCAAACATAGAGTTGTAATCGGAGGTTCGTTCACAAGTTGTCGAAGGACTTGATTCGACTCGAATAAAGGGATAAGAAGAGATAGCATCTACAACAGGTTAAATTTATATTATAAGAGCTCAATTCTATTGTCAGAATTGAGCGCAGATGTACCCCGAAGCGAGGACGACGGGAGAACTGTCTCAACAAATCCTTGTGCCTTTTACCCTTCGTTTTTACATTTTTAATATTTGTGTGGTTTTGGTGCAAACAATTATATCAAATTTAGGACTGTTTTGAGTAAGTGCTAAACTGATTTTGACTCTAGTACAATCGTTGATTGTACAAGGAAACTAGAGCAAATTATTTAAAGCGGAATTCACTTGTAGTGCT